TGCAGACCCAGAGAAGGGGAATGATCGTGGACACGGGCGCGTCGTTCCACATCATCAACGATAGAAGCAAGTTCAAAAGCTTTGACAGCACCTTCAGGCCGGAGAGACACAGTATGGAGCTCGCAGATGGGAAGCGTACTGTCGGTGTGGTTAAAAGCAGGGGAGACGCACAGGTATGTCTCATAAGCAGTGGGGGGCACCGGTGTACAGTGACATTAAAGAACGCTCTCTACATTCCCTCGTACCCTCAAGAACTCTTCTCAGTGAAGTCTGCTACCGCCCACGGTGCCAAAGTGTTTTTCGACGAAGGAAAAGACGTTCTAGAGTCAACGGATGGCACAAGGTTTGAAATCTATGTATGTAAGAGAATGTACTACCTGCAAACCGAGTGTGATCTAGATGATGTGTGTCACGTCAGCTATGATATTCAGACATGGCATGAGGTAATGGGTCACTGTAATTACGACGATATCTTGAAATTGCAGGACGTGACAGAGGGCATGCACATTAAAGGTCCAAAGCGCAGGCCTGATAAAGAATGTGCAGTATGCATAGAGGGGAAGTTCACGCAGACGAGAAACAGAGACCCGACTAACAGAGCAAAGACGCCGTTTGAGCTGGTGAACACAGACCTAACCGGCCCAATTAACAATGAGTCCATAGATGGTTTTAAATACATGCAGTCTTTCACAGACGTGTGTACGGGGGCAGTGCTGGTCTATTTTCTGAAAGCAAAAAGCGATGCAGTTCAGGCTACAGAGAAGTACCTGGCAGATGTGGCGCCTTACGGCACTGTGAAGTGCATCAGATCAGATAACGGGACTGAATTTACTAACCGAGAGTTTCAGACACTACTGAGAAAGAACAAAATCAGGCACGAGACTTCCTGTCCTTACTCTCCGCACCAGAACGGGACAGCTGAAAGGGAAGGGCGAACTCTTTTCGAGATGGCCAGATGTAAGCTCATTGACAGTGGCTTACCTAAGAGCCTTTGGCACTATGCCATCCAGGAAGCAGCCTATACCAGGAACCGGTGTTTCAACAAGCACACAGGCACTACCCCATACACAGCACTGACAGGTAAAAAGTGTAATTTAGCCGATATGCATAAATTCGGGTCAGAGTGTTATGCCTACCAGCAAGACAGAGGCAAACTAGATTCTAGGTGTGACAGAGGATTCTTTGTAGGGCACGACAAGGGCAGTCACGCCTACCTAGTTTACTACCCGGGCAAAGGAAAAGTACAGAAGCACAGGCTGGTAAAGTTTGTCACCAAGAAAACCTGTGAAAATGAGACTCAGACTCAGGAGCTAGGACTGGATCCCAAAGGGGGTTGCGATAAGGGAGTGGTGACTTCACAGCCTAGCGTACCAAACACCGATGTATTGACTGACCGTCCACAATCCGCATCAGAGGACGACTGCGAGAAGCATCCTAGGGAGACGCCACACGACAGTGGGAGATACCCTACCAGAGAGCGTAAAGCCCCGGGGTATCTAAGAGATTATTCTCTGGAAGATGCTGATGACGACAGTACGCTAACTAGTGTAGATTATTGCTACCGAGCAGTTTGTGGTGTGCCTCTGACCTTTAAAGAGGCCATGACATCAACTGAGTCAGGAAAGTGGAAGAAAGCAATGGACGAGGAGATGGGGTCCCTAGAGGACAACCAAACCTTTACCCTGACTAAGCTAGAGGGCAGGAAGACAGTGGGAGGAAAATGGGTATATTCGATCTACCTCGGCTAAGCCCCTCCCCCAACGCACACTGTACATTCCTACGTTAGCAACCGTAACTAGGGACCAGAGGCCTTTAGAGGGTTGATGTCACTTATGGATTAAACATGTGGAAGACTGAATCCATCAACGATCAATAAAAACTCCTTTGTTTGCTCCAAAGTAAGATGCTAATAGCGTTAGCTAGCTTAGCATGACAGTCTAATATTATGTTCTCATTACTGTGTAACAAACATAAATCTGTCACCCAAGGAATAAAGCTCATATGAAGCATTCCAACAATGACATTAAGCCTGCAGGAGAACATGCAGTGTGGTTTGTTGCAGCAGGACTCTCTACGATGACCCTTTGGTGAGTTCTGTCTCTGAGGACAAATGTCTCACCTCCACAGCCTCTCTGGACTCATGTTGTTCAGTGGTGGAGCTCACAGCTTTCTTCTTCCTGCATTCAGTCATAAAACAAACAGATACACAAATAGAGCCAACAAATAAACGTTTATCTTCACTATTGAAGGACCTTTTCAAAGTAAAAGCTCAGTGAGGATGAGTTCTAGTTGCTTTACCTCGTCCACAGACGAAAGACAAGCAGAAGAATCGGATTCACAAAGACCAGAGTCCACCTGGTGATGTGAATTATCATTGTTGTTCTATCAACAGCTGGAGACACACAGTTATTAGACAAACAGCACGTTACCTCATCAGAAGGACTTGATTCATGGATAAACGTGCAGGAGATGCTGTTTGTTGATCAGACGATTCCTGTCATGGAGAAACTCACCAGACTCAGTAATCAGAAGTAAGGTGGAGTTACTACGTCCCATCTCGTTCTGGGCTTCACAGTAATAATTCCCACTGTGTTCAGCTGTGAAGTCAGTGATGGTGAAGATCTGTCCTGATGCTCGTGGTGAGTCTTCATGCTCCTTGTACCAGGTGTAGCTAGCTGCTGGGTTAGCATCAGCGCTACAGGTCAGAGTCACTGAATCGCCCTCCAGCATCTCAGCAGAGGGACTCACTGACACAGAGGGACGCTGTGGACCATCTGGAGGAGACGTGAATAAACATACTAAGAGGTTAGAAGATGTCAACGTAGATAGTTGATCATTTGAATGAATACTTGTGTGTCTTTCTCTCAGACTATCTCCAGTATTCATCACAGCAGCTGTCACAGGTGAGACTCCTGCTGGTGTAAAGTGACAATAAGCAGCCTTTAATCCTTTGTAATGTTCATATCTCCACACATTCTTCTCTTTAGATGCTGCTTGTGTCCTTAGCTGAGTCTGTCCTCTCACTTCTAGTTGTTGTAGGAGTTATTGATTGTTTCCTCCACCAGCTGACACGTCACTTCTACTTATGTTCTGGAATAATTCACTTGAGTCTTTATGAAAATCACATTATTCTGTCTGCTGATGGTTTATATTTGTGTTTCTATTAATAAGAGAATGACATAAATAAAGATCTGTGTCTCCTTTAACATTTAGACTCCAGTGTGTTTACAGCTGTGATTAGAATCATATTGTTGTGTCAGTGTGTGAGTGACTCTTCTACACGTAGACTGCAGGGGCCGGGGATTGAACCAGCAACCCTCTGGTCAGTGGACCACGGCTCCACCTCCTGAGGAACGTTGTGCTTCATCTTTTTGATGCATCTAGTTTACATTCAGCGGTCTGGTGCCTCCATGTGAGATGTTGGTGAAGCTCCACAGCCCGACACAGTGGAGTGAACTTACACACTGCAGGAGAACGTTGATTCCAATATCCGGTTAAATAACAGGAATATCTGTCTGTAGAACCAGAGGAGACTGGAAAAGAAGATCCTGTCTCGATGTATTTTTCATTCTTGTACCAGTAGTATTCAGGATGACCAGACAGAACACAGCTGCTGTGACACGTCAGCTCCAACCAGGTAGAATCTGATCTTCTCACCTGCACCTGGAGACCTGAATCAGTGAATATTATTTATTAAAGTGTCAACATTCACAGAAGACATTTATACTCTAGTTTTCTAGATGTTGAACATTTGGAGATGATTAATATGTGAATTAAAATGTTACCTGTGACAGACAAAGTGACTCCAGGTGAACCAGTATATTTCTCTCCTGGTTTGTTTGTCATGAATGTGAATTTGTACTCAGCTGAGTCGCTCTCTCTCACGTCTGTGATGGTCAGATAACATCTCTTACTATCACTATAACATCCATACTTCACACGGCCTGAATACTCAGAGTCTGTTTTCAGATCCACAGGTTCACCATCTTTCTCTTTAGTGAACCAGAACCTGTCCTTTATATCAGAGTAATATATTCCAGGTGGGTGTGTGATGTCACAGATTATAAACACTGTTGATCCTTTTGCAGCACAGACGTCAGTCTGATGGTATTTCACTCTCCATCCATCCTGACTCTGTATCACTGTAACACAGCACATCAGGAACCACAGTCACACTCAGAACAACATCACAGGACACACTCTCATTGGTAGTTTACTGAAGAGAAAAGATATTATGAGAAATATGAAAATCATTGAGTTTATAGAAAGTAATGAAAGAGTCCACGATGTCCACATGGACTCTGCAGCTGGAAGGAACAGCGACGTATTGAACCTGTGGACCTGAAAAAGCTCAAGTTGAAGTATTAGAAGGGTTTGGTTGATGAGAAGAAGAGTGTCTTTGCTCTGTGCTCTTCTGTCTGTGGTCAGTCTGCTGCAGAGTGGAGATGGAAACTGTAGAGAAATGCAGAACTCTGAGGGGAACGATACTGTGACATATAGATTACATCTCACTGAGGACACCACAGAGAGCCTCCACATCTTCCGCCGCAAACTCAAGACACACCTCTACAGACTCTACCTCGACTAAAGACAAACAGATTGCAGCACTTAAATTGTACTTGTAACGTCACTCATCTATAGCAAATTGTAAATTGGCTTATTTGAGGAAATTGCACTTTCTTGTTTCTTGTTCTCCTGAGTTTGTACCCTATGGTTGAATGCACTTATTGTACGTCGCTTTGGATAAAAGCGTCCGCTAAATGACATGTAATGTAATGTAATATAATGACACGGATCAAAGCTACAAAATGTCCCTCAAAGAGACACTGAACAACCAGGAAGAGAATAAAAATGACCACAAATACACAATAAAATCCTCCAAAATGTTATGTGCTGATTAGATCACACGTCACTGATAAGAAGTGTTTTAAGACTCGACTGGCTTTCAAAAGCCAACAAAAAATAAGAAATAGAATTTTCCAAAACAATATTTATTTGTCTAAAACCACAGAATGCGACTTTTCAGCATCCGGCATTGAATCAATTATCTGTGACACGGATCAAAGCTACAAAATGTCCCTCAAAGAGACACTGAACAAACAGGAAGAGAATAAAAATGACCAGAAATACACAATAAAATGCTCCAAAAAGGAGAACAAACGTCGTCAGAGACTCGGAGTGAATAACAGCCTCTAAATGTGGTCTAATGCAAAGAAACGCTGCTGAACGATTAGAGGAAGTTCAACAGAGACAAATTATTCAGAGCATTTCTTCTTTGTTAATGTTCATTTAGTCATTATTTGTGTGTGATGACATCAGACCTGTGTGTGAAGTAAAAACACAGCTCCCTGTGTGTGTGTGAGGTGTGTAACGGCCTCACAATATAAATGTAGAAGTACAGTACCTTGTACAGAGAGAAGGAAGACGACTAATCCACCGGCTGATGGACTCATAGCTGCTCCTCTGTGTTCAATCAGCAGATCAGAAACTCTTTATTCAGTAAGTCACCAGAAACACGTCTACATTAAAGAGGAGGCTGATGTCTCTGAGGTCAGCTCGTCTCTTCTGGAGTTGGTAACAAGCTGCTGTTCAACACCCAGCAGAGCTTCCTTCCTCTTTCCGTCATTAGTGTGCATGAGCTGCAGAACAAGAAGCTGCTTTAATGTTAACGTCTTACTTCTGCTACAAGGAAACATCATAAAAGTGTTGTTAATATGTGAAGATCATCTTGATGAACCTGTAAGCAGCATAAACGTCTCTTCATTCTCTGTAATAATTCACATTAAGTGAAAGGCTGCAGTGTGACGTCCTCCTGTTAACATGTAGATAAATATGTCCTCTCTGCAGCTCTTCATACGTCTTCCTCACATTCACTGCAGGACACAAACAACACAAACAAGCTGTCAACTCACACAAATGTTGCTTTATTCATTTAATGTTCATACATTTCCATGGACAGTGTGTAGTGTTTAGTGACATCTAGTGGTGACGTTGCAGACTGCCGACTCCTCCCTTTAAGTCCTTCAGGTAACGTGGAGATGAAAAAGGCTCCCAGTGAACATATGAAGCGCTCCGCTAAAGAAACTTCTTAGTGATGAAAACATGGTTATTGTTGGGAAGATTAAAACAAGCTTCAGACAGTTTGGGGGGCAGGTGCTCAAACCAAAAGAAAAGGGCAGAAGTGTCTTTCTGCTTTTGGAGTCTCTCTTCTCTTTGCATTAAGCTGAACATTCTGTGAATGAGATAAATTAATGTTGTGCACAATAATCAAAAGTTGACGACACACACAAATATTTTTGTACTGAGAGTTGAAGCATAAGCAGCATTACACTAATAATACACCAGACTGTAGCTCAACTTAAGACCTACCTTTTAATTTGTAGAAGTGTAAAACTGCTGTGGTGGAGGGGCGTGGTTAGCTCAGCTGCAGGGGGGAGAGAGGGGGAGTGGTTCAGCGGACGGTGCTGGTAGGTGAGGAGAAAGCAGGTGGAAATAATCTGCACTGATTGTCTCTGATAAAAACAGTGAGCAGGATCCACATCGGGGGACGTGAGCCGAGCAGAGCAGAGCGGAGCACGAGAGCTGGGCTGTGCAGAGCAGGACAGAGCGAAGCCGAGCAACAGCACGACGAGCGGCCTCATTCCTGCTCACTGACCCCCTTTGGAAAATAAAGACTTGTTGCTCTTAACGTGTGTCCGTGCGTCCTTACGGAACCCGCCGGTGGTAGCGCTATCACGGCTACAGTGGCGCCCGGCCAGGGATGGACGCAAACGACCACGGAGAGGGCCTGATGCAGCTGGCGGTCGCGCTTGGACGAATGCTGGGAGAGATTGCCGCGATGCAGCGCGAGCAGGCCGAGGCCAACCGGCACTTCCTGGGAGCGCTGCAGGCTGCTGCGGACCGGCAGACCCAGGTATTGGAACAATTGGCGGCCCGACCAGTCGCTTCCCCAACAGCGCCGGGTCCCTCGGCATATACGGGCGTGGTGGTGCACAAGATGACCCCGGGGGACCAGGTGCAGTCATACCTAGAGATGTTTGAGGCGATGGCGGGGGCGAGTGGCTGGCCGGCGGACGAGTGGGCGATCCGCCTCCTGCCGCTCCTAACCGGGGAGGCGCAGACAGGAGATCCCCGCTACCTGTTGCGGCTCGGCCCCCTCCGGCCCCGCGGGCCCTAGCCCCTCAACGGGGTACTGATCCACCCGGCCTGGCCGGCACCCTCCCCGACCTACAGAGGACTGCTCAACCGCCAGGGCAGGAGTGTTGGAGGTGCGGGCAGCCCGGACACTACCGGCGGGAGTGCCCGCTAATGGAGGTGGGCCAAACGGTGCGGGTTGCTGGGCCTCCAGCACCCTCCCCCGGTCTGGGAGCGACGTACGGTGTTCCGGTAAGGATCCAGGGGGGTATACATCAGGCGATGGTGGACTCTGGCTGCACGCAGTCTATGATCCACCAGAGACTGGTTCGACCCGGGGCATTGGTTGAGGCATCCCGGGTGAGTATTAAGTGTGTGCATGGGGATATTCACGACTACCCAGTGGTGCCGATAGAGATT